TACAAATGTAACTGCTGCCTGCTTAACCAATCGTGTTTGAGATGACCTAACTGTTCCTGGAATTCTCCTAGCCATGCTTAAAAGGAGTCGTCCGCGTGCTCCTCTCTGGATCCCCATTTTGTGCAAATGATTGACCCTACATGCTGGTTGTTTGTGCAGAATAAACGCTCCTTGCTTTTTACACACTATTTGAGTTCAGGGACTTCTTCAGCGCTTCTTGGACCCTTACACAACTAGGACAAGTACTATCTAGGGACCAAGTTTTCAAACACTTGAGCCTATGGTAGGCATTTCACATTCAAACTACCAAAGACAATCAGAAATTATATGTGGACAGCAGGGGGTAAATTGAAAGGTAAACAGTGAACCTGGCAAAGAATACTGAGAGTGTTCAGGAGGACCAAGTATCAGCAGCTTGAGGTCATCCCCAGGTAAGATTCTAAGGGCCCTTAAAAAGAAAGGATCCTATTTTTTTAGTCTTTTATGTCAATAACCAAACTATATTAAATTCTAGGCATTTACAAGCTTGGGTTATGGCTGAAATAGGTGAGAAAACAAAACCTAGAATATATACATCAGATATTTAATTGGAAAAAATGTGAAAACAAATTTGTGTAAAAGCTTACATTTACTTTTAGTTATGTGCATTCATGCACGTGTGTCTATGTGGGAATATGTGCCAGTGAGTGCAGTTGCCCACAGAGGTTAGAAAAGGGGTCAGATCTCCTGGAACTGAGTTCCAGGAGGTTGTGGGCCATTCAGTGTGGGTGCCGGGAACCAAACGTGGGCCCTCTGTAAGAAGACTATGTGCTCTCAACTGCTGAGCCTCTTCTCCAGCCCCTTTCTTACAGCATCATCTGCCTGCTTAGCACTAAGCTGTGATTATGGCTACTTTATAGCCACATGGGTCTCCACTGTCCCTGCAGCTGGGTGGCCCTCTCAGGTGTTACTTTGGAGTGCCAGACATTGGGTACCATATGTTACAAACTGGGAGTCTTTTTTGTCCCTCCAATTTTTAGGTTCCTTTTTAGGTTCCTCCTGAACACTCTCAGCATTCTTTGCCAGGTTCACTGTTTACCTTTCAATTTACCCCCTGCTGTCCACATATCATTTCTGATTGTCTTTGGTAGTTTGAATGTGAAATGCCTACCATAGGCTCAAGTGTTTGAAAACTTGGTCCCTAGATAGTACTTGTCCTAGTTTTAGGTTCCTTTAGGTGGGGAACGATCCAACAATGAACACAAAAGGAAAATCAGGGACAATTTCTTCAAGTTTGAAAGAAAAACAAGCAGACAAACAAACTGTAAGTCGCAGCAACTTCCTGGAATAGGGAGATGGAGAAGAGAGAGAGAGAGAGGAAGCAATGCTTTCCGAGTTAGGGTCTAAGGAAGAAGAAAGGCTCGCCAGTGGAGTTTGGCAAGCAGCTACATGGTATGAGGGGAGACTCGGCATCTGGGAGAGCATGCTTGGTTGGACCAGCATCTGGACAAGAGAGCCATAAGAAGGAAAAGTCAGACCTTTCGCAGAAACGTGTCAGGCAGCAGGTGGAGGCTCCATGGTGCAGGCAGATAGAAGCTCTGTAAGTGCTACCTGGGAGCAGGCTTTCCGGAAGGCACAGTATTTCTTTAAGGGAATTACTGTTCCTCCCATCTCCTTAGCAGGCACAGATAGACTAACTCTTAAAGGAGTCAACAATAGTCTGTGATGTTCTCTCATGTTTGAGGTGGATCAGATTGTCCTGTCTCCCTGCTCCCAGGACCAGGAGAAGATTTCATTCTTTTTAGAAGAAAATAGCCTTCGTTAATGGGCCTCAATAGAGCCTTGATATCCAACTTCAATGGATTCTATGACTATGGTAACATTCCCTTCTCAAGAATGGAGAATGAAGTAATTTAGGACATAGGCTGAAATTGGGAAACAGACATAACCCATTTCTACCATGAAAATCCAGAACTCTAGTTCCAAAGCTGTTCACCAGAAGGGATTAATGTCTGGAGTAGAGTTTCAGTCACACCCTCACATATGGCCTCCAGACAAAGTACTCATTTAGGAGAGACAACGAGAAATAAAAGTTCCCTGTGGCATTCCTGGCCTCTGGCCAGGACAAAACCAGGGGCTTTTCCTGCTTCAGGTCACGGACAAGAATTGGAATCATTTGCCCTCAGGGTTCCCACCCCTGGACCTGCCCAGCTGTTTCTCTCTTTTGTTGTCTTCATCTCCGAGCATTTCCTCTTCTTGTTTAGTTCCTGAAAAGTTCCCCTTTGAAACAGAGATCTGTCTGATAAGTGTGAAAAATGCTCACTTTGTGTGAAATACAAAGCTGGCACTAGAATGTCCCAGAGGGTTAGGGATACGGCTCAGTTGACAGAGTGCTTGCCAAGTGTGCAGGTGTCCCTGGATTCAACCCCACAAGACAGAAACTGGGTGTGGTGACACCAGCCTGTAATCCCAGCTTGAAGGCGTGGGGGACAAGAAGATCAGGAGTCAGGATCGTCATTCATGGTACGTAAGTGAGCGTAAGATAACAAAAGACTCTGTCTCCAAACACACGTGCTTATTTTATAAAATAAAGTAGAGCCAAGGGATGAGATGGATAATTGGATAAAGTTGGCTGCCACCAAGCCTCAGGACCTGAGTTCCAGCCCTGGGACCCAATGGTGGGTGAAGAGAATCAACTTCTGACATTACTCATCTGCCCCCTACACCCACTAAATAATTAAAATATAATTTAGATAACACAAAGTGACCTTCAATTGAAGAGGAACGTGAAATACAAATGTAACAGATTTGTGAAGAATGGCCATATTGCTCCTATTTTTTTATGTATAAAAATCCCTTGTGAGAGTGACCCCCATACCCACTTTCCACTTAATCCATGAAACAGTGTAAGGCTGATGAAAAGAAAACACCGACCACTAAGGGAATGACTCTATAGCAGCACAAGTTTAATTAGGGGGAAATCCTGCGAAGGGGAGGTCTCTAGTTCAAAAGACCAGAGACCTCGGCATCTGCTTACAGCAGCAGTTCTCAACCTGTGGGTCATGACCCCTCTGGGATTGAATGAACCTTTCACAGGGGCCCACATATCAGATATCCTGCATATCAGATATTTACATTACTGTTCACAACAGTACCAACATTACAGTCATAAAGTAGCAACATAAATAATTTCATGGGGTCCCCACAGCATGATGTGCTGTAGTAAAGATTCGCAACATTAGGAAGATTGGGAACCGTTAGCTTACAGGCTGGGGTAATTATGGAGAAAAAAGGGGGAAAGGAAAGGGGGTTGAAAAGCTTCCCTTTTCTGCCCAAGGGTAATGAAGGATCAGTGAGGGAAAGAATATGGGATAACCGAGAAATGCCTTTTTTGACTGGCCATTACTAGGAGAAGGCAAGAGTCTAAAAAAATTAGTTGCTGTAGTTCTGGAGACCAAATTAGTTGAGTTTTGGGAATTGCCATTGTTCAACCAAAATGGGAGAATTTACAAAATAGTGAGATCATGGCTAAGAAGAGTGACAAGCTGGTAGACCGGTCTCTGGAGCAGATTGCCTTTCCCGCCGTCTCTTGCAGCTTGATAGGGACATATGTCAAACTCTTTGACAATGATGATATGCTTAAGTAAGAAGTTCATACATTTTACATTGTCTTCCTTCCTAAGTCAAGATATCGTATGCTTTCCGAAAGAACACCTCTTTCATTTGGCAAAACTCCAATATCTATCATGTTGGAGGTACTATATTTCTTTCTCTCTTTCTTTTGTTTTTTGTTTGTTTGTTTGTTTTATTTTATTTGGTTTTGTTTTGTTCTGTTTTTGAGACAGTTTCTCTGTGTAGTCCTGGTTCTCCTGGACCTTACTCTGTAGACCAGGCTGGCCTCAAGCTCAGAGAGATCCTCCTGCCTCTGCCTCCTGAGTGCTAGAATTAAGGACATGTGCCACCACTGCCAGGCTGGTACTATAATATTTCTATTAGGAAAATTTGTCTTAAAAGCCAATTGTTGTAGCTAGGTTCACATAGCTCAGTGGTAGAGCATTTGCTCAGCACGTACAAGGCCCTTGATTAGTCCATGGCAAGAGAAATAAAAAAAGACAGATAGAGGACCAAGGACTTTACAATCACCTCAAGGGAATTATTTTTATCTACTTCAATATCTATAAATTTCTTTGAAAGAAAGCAGAATAATGAAGGAAAAAAAGCAAATGTTCTAACTTCATGTTTAAATGTGCTAACGTGTCTGTGGTAATTATTCACAGGAAAGACATTTAATCGCCCATTTAACATTTTGATACTCAACTCAGGATAAACAGAAAGAGTGAACACTTGCACATCCTACTTACAGAGCTGGTACACTAGAAGTTTCTATCAGTCAGGTTCTCTAGTGTCAACAACAGACTGACTCTGGCTAATCTAAGTACAAAGGGGAGTTATCTTTAAAGTGTTGGGAAAACCGTAAAATTTTCCCAGGGTTTTCAGGCTGGGCTTAGTTTCCGAGTTGTAGAACTGACATTTCTGTGGCATTTCTAGCTCTGTCCTTGCAAGGAGAACTACCTCGGAGAACAAAATGTTCTGGCTGACAAAGGCACAATTTAGTGCCCCTGGTGTGCCCTTGAGGGATACAGCATATTTGCCCATAAAAACAGGAAACAGTGGCGTTGAGGATTAAACAAAGTTTACATGATAAATGATGACCACCCTTTCAAATTTAATTCAAGTGCAAACACATCTCCCATCTCATAAATCTTAGCAAAGTCGAAATCACAGGACATTTTAAATAATGCATATATACTATGCTTTGTATAACAAACACAGATTAACATGCCCAGTGATGAATAGGCACCTAATTTATTTGTGCATATTCAAGCTTCAAGAAATTGGCCTCCCCACAACACTGTCACCACCCCTGAAGCTGCTCTGAGGAATATTAAGGGATTAAAATGGGTTATTGGCAGTGTTTAAGGCTCAAGGCAGGCAGCCAGTCCTGGCCTTCTGACTGAGAACCCAGCAACACAAAGAGGCGACACTCATTCATCCTTACACACAGGAAAGATCACCTCTGTCCTCGCTGCAGATGATTGTTGTGGGCACCAGGGATGCTTTCACTCTGCCTGGCTTCGGAGTGTGAGAGCCAGGGTGGGAAACAGTGAGTCTTTGTGTGTAAGTGGACTCCTGGCGCTTTCGACACACAGGCCAAAGGCAGAGGAATAACTGAATCCTGAAGTTGTGCTTTACAGAGAGGTGAGAAAGCAGCAGATTAGTGTGTTTTGAAAAAGCTGCCTTACATCTCATCCCCAGCCAGCATGCTTTATGGGGGTGAGGGCGGGGTTGGGGGGGGGATTAAAGGCAGTCAGTCATCTTGCCCCTCTGGCGAGATGGTCAGTCATATTTCTGTAACTTGTGATGTCTTTTTTTTTTTTTCATTCTTTGAACTCTTTTACCTTCTGTGGATGTCTAGACTTGGTTACTTTTTTTTTTTTAAAGTTGTTTAAAATTGTTGTGTTATGTGAATGAGTGTTTGCCTGTATGAATAGATGTGCACTTCATGTGTGGAGGTGCTGGCAGGTGCAAACAGGTGCAAACTCCCCGGAAGTGGAGTTGAAGACAGTTGTGAGTTACCAGGTGGGTGCTGGGAACCAAAGCTGGGTTCTCTGCAAGAGCAGTAAGTTCTCTTGACCGTCCAGCTGTCTCTCTAGCCACTTAAGCACTTCTGAAATGCTGAGACTAGTTAGTGCCTGCTTGTCAACCGTATTCTTCTGAGGGCATCTGTGAGAGAGGAGGATAACTCAGCAAAACTAATCACTAACCGTTTGTTAGTGCTGAATTACCATAACATGGGCTTGCCCTACTTCGATATGGAGTACAAATGTGTCTTTACAGTATAGAATATTAAATATGCCCCTACCCTTCTTTCCTGTCCCCTCTCATTTTGACTGTTTTTCAGTTAAAGTCATGCCCTTTGGGACCAGTTGATGAAAGCATTGGTGAGGAATGGTGACATTACCTGGAAGTCTGGGCTGACCCTTATTTGCTACTACATTATAAAAGAGGAAACTCCCCACTAATGTTTCCCCGTTGCCCAACTGCACCACTTTTAATGTAACATGAGGCAATATGAGTAATAAGATGTGTAGCTAGAGTTTTCCTGCCTTGCCCACAGTCAGGACAAATCTCTGTCACCCGCCAGTCCCACAGCCGCTCAGACCCAACCAAGTAAACACAGAGACTTATATTGCTTACAAACTGTGTGGCCCTGGCAGGCTTCTTGCTAACTGTTCCTATAGCTTAAATTAATCCATTCCCATAAATCTATACCTTGCCACGTGGCTTGTGGCTTACCGGTGTCTTCACATGTGGCTTGTCATGGCAGCAGCTGGCAGTGTCTCCCTGCCTCAGCCTTCTGCTTCCCAGAATTCTCCTCTTTCCTTGTCCCACCTACTTCCTGCCTGGCCACTGGCCAATCAGTGTTTTATTTATTGACCAATCAGAGCAATTTGACATACAGACCATCCCACAGCAACGATGCCTAACAATTATGAAGCATGCCTGGGGTGCCTGGGAGCTGTAACTACTTAGATGCTTTACAGTCTTCTGTTTGCACAGAATTCTGAGTAGACGTCACTCTATATCTCTGTGATAAAACACCATGGACGGTCAAGAGAACTTACTGCTCTTGCAGAGAACCCAAGTTTGCTTCCCAGCACCCACCTGGTAACTTAAAACTGTCTTCAACTCCACTTCAGGGGACCTCTATCTTGCTGTGATAAAACACCATGACCAAAAGCAATTTGAGGAAGATTTATTTGGCTTATACATCCAGATCACAGTCCACCATGATAGAAAGTCAGAGAACGAATTCTGTAACTCTAAAGTAGAAACTCTAAGGAGAAACCTAGAGGCAGGAACTGAAGCAGAGGTCATGGAGGG